ATGATCTCCTCTAGTCGGCCAGCAGGATGAGTCTGGACAAAATGGTCGATGAGGGCTTTGACTGCCGTAGGAGGAAGCGAGCGAATGGTTCCATCGACGATACGAGGCTCAAGAACATCCAAGAAAATCCCCGCAGATTCATTTTCTTCGTACCAAAGAAAGACTTCCTCCCACAAGAAGTCTTCATCTGCCATGCAAATACAGGCGGCAATCGATACTTCGGCGAGTTCCTCGAGTTGTGGGTTGCCAACCCGCCCGTTGTCCGCCTCGGCATTCCGACCGAAAGCGTACTTGAGAGATGCAGAGATCATTTCCAACAGTTTCTCTTGAACAATCGGTTGTCTTAGATTATCCTCTTCGGGGAGACCAACCGTAAGCTTTTCTGCGGTGCCTGTGTAATAAGAAGTCGCCAATCGGATGGCACCGATGAAGTCACCACCCTCCATCAGAGCCAGGAGTCTATCGGCCCAGTTTGATAGATTTCCAACAAGAGTTTCATTGTATCCAAGCAAAAACAAGCGCCCCTTGTAGGCACGGAAGCTCATGTAGAATGCGTCAGCCACCACACCGTGCATTGACGTATCTTCTTCATCGAGTTGTTCCACCAGATTATGAAGCTGTGACGAGAAGAGATCGACATGATAGATATGTCGATATGCAAGATCGATAGAATCCGTCACGTGCATTGAATAGTCCTCGAGGATCAGGAGGCGTTGAGTGATTGTAAAAACGGCTAGCACGGAACGGCTCAACCATTGAACAGCGACAATGGCTTCGTCCGCTTTCCATCTACTACGTGCGTGGAAGACCAGGCTAGGCGGCCTGTCTTTGTCAACAGGTTCATCAGATTCTGCTTCTGAGACTTCGAGCACCGTCAAGACATTTGACCAGCAATATACCAGTTTGGTATTTGATGTCTGGCTATCTTTCCCCTTTAACCGAATAGCCGGGAACCAAGCCAATGCCCCAGTCATTGCACTGTGAGCCGGGACCTCCTTCGGTCGAGGTGCTTTGTGTTGTGTCTGAGCAACCGGAGTGGTAGAAACGATGACCAGGAGATAAGGTGTCAGCATGGCGACAAGCCCTAATGGGTCAGAAGGCTGCTCAACATTGCCGAGGGGAAGGGGAGAGAACGCCAGGACCGAGCTGGGTTTTCGGCGACGCTCTTCCGGTGCCATCTGTGGATACCGACCAAGGATCCTCGTTGTTTTCATGGTGCGCCCAACTGCGCCCATGCCTCGCGTTGCCAGATGCGAAAAGGCCATTCCTCTTGTATCTGCTGAGACAATGGCAGTACGCCTAGTGCCAAGGAACCCGATATGAATGACAGATGCGCCCGCAATGTGGCCATCAGAGACCCGGGCTTCTATCTGGTTCGCTGGAATTGGCGGTATATGGAGGAAAGGTTTTGCAGACCGCGATATTTCCCAGGTGAATATATCACCCGACTCATGACCTCCAGCCACAGTAGAATGATCTGCAGACAACGCCAATGCAGTTATTTGGCCGCATTCCAGAGCTGGTATATGGTTAACAGCATGAAAGAGAAACACTGAGGGAAAGCGATCGACAAACCTTTGGTTCCGGTTCCAATGATGTGCTTCAAGCTTTGTTGGTAGTCAAAGACTAGAATAATTCCCTTGGAAGTACCGACCACAATGCTGGTTGAAACCGCCAAGCAGGTTGGCCGGCCGAAGTTACGTTTTCCGATTTCTGAAAAGGCCTGGCCGGTGATCTTGCGCAGCTTTGTCCACCTGACCACATCCCAGGGACTCTGAGGCGTGTCATTGTCGGATTCAGGGGTGGGTGAGACCTGGCTAGTGATAGAGGACTGTCTGGAATGGAGGTGTGCGAGGAAAGGCGAGCCAGTTCTTGATGCGGCGAGCGGTGATGAGGAAAGACGGGATTGAAAGCGGAGATCGAACGGACGATGCGCTGGACTCGGACTTGGACTAAATCGTGAAGAACCTCTTAGAGCCAAAGCGCTGCTACTTTGGGAGGAGATAACGGAGCCCTGTCACCAATTAGTAGGTGGTTATTATTAACGCATGGGCCAATCGCGGCACTTACATGTAGGGACGGCGAGTCATCTGGTGTAGAGGATGTTCCATCGATGCTTCCTGAAGCCCCCGGAAACTCTGTGTTTCGGTTGGGTGGAGTTTGTGGAAGCCCAGCATCTCCGGGCTGTACTGTCCTCTCCGATGCTTGGTCTTGCGCATTGTCTATCGTGTCCAATTTGCCCAGCTCCTCCAATTCCTCCAAGTCGTGCTCGACCGACTCCTGCGGGGAAGGTCCGGGGAGATCGGTGGCGGTATGATCGAGTAGTTGGGAGTCGTCAGCATCCTGGCCTAGGTCAAGCTTATCCTCATCCTCTCGTACCCAGCCTTCACTGCCCTCAGCCATCGAGCTCATGAAGAAGGTCGTCGAATGATCATTGCTGGCGCCGCGTCAGGGGAAAAGCGTGGACAAGCCAGCGAGGTGATGTGGGATGTGAAATGAGCGTGGTCGCAAAGAATAGAATCGGGAGGGTGATCGGAGGTGCCACTGGGCAGTGTGGGATGAGAACGGGGTCGTGCGGCTCGGAGGTGGTAAACATGTGGAGTCGGAGTAGTCGGAGTACTGAGCACCTTCTGCCTGGAATTGGTGGCGCTTGGCACTCCAGCTGCCTTTGCGCAGGAAGGAGCTCCCCAGTTCAAAGTTGGCCTGGACTGGATCGGCCCGAGCTCAGCCACTGTGGCTGATGGTAGGTACTACTTACGGAGTCGATGCCAACATATCCCCTCTCTCCCCTCCATCGGATTCATTTTTAAATTGATGGTGAGTTAACCCCCGCATATCAACTACTGATTTATTCTAACTACTTAGAATCTATACATTACTGACGTGGTTCTCTTCAAATTGCCGCTTCCACCGTGTCCCTCTCTCCACCGTCAATATATAGATCACCTGTTCTATAATCATTTCTCCGAGCCGTGACGCCAGGAGCATGCCAGTGGGTGATTTCCCGAGGTCCATCGCAAAGGAAAAATAATGCGAGAAAAGATACAGCTAAAAAGGGGCAGGTCTATTCTATACCACTCCCGCCTGTTACCAATCACCAATGAATCCTCCTGGATGCCCCCAAACCCTTCCATCATTGGCGGGCTGTCCTGGCCCCTATGCGACCACGGAGCCGCCGTCATGCATCTGCATGGCTTGCTCCGATCGTCCTTTGAAATAGGATTCGTGGCGTCTCAAGGCACGCCCCGAAGCAGGCACCATGCCGCTTTCTGCGGGTAGTGTTTACCTTTTCTATCCTTGTCCTCTAATGTGCGGGGCCTGCCGTTACATCGAGTCACAAGGGGATGCGGGATGCTGTATCCTATTTGTGCCTTCTAGCTCCACCAAGCGATACTCGGCGCTAGATATCACTCTCGCCGGCACGATCATGAGGCCTTGTTCTAAGTCAGTTGTCTATTTTCCTTTTGGGCTAGGGATCGCCGGCATGTGGAATGCTGGGGAGCTGGTCACCTCCCAGTTCACAACCCGTGGATACTACGCATATGAATCAGTCACAACCCCATTCTGCTGCACCTGGACAGTAGTCACGGCTGAAGCGAAGATCTGGTGATTCGGAATATTTCTTCGAAGCCCAAATATCTACTCTGGTTCCGCTTCGGTTTCCGACCTGTGGCGATCCCTTGTCAACACCACAAAGCATAGTCAACACCCAGTCAAAATGAACCCGAACCCCATGGCACTGGTGAGAATCCTATTCGGGACTCTTTTGCTCGTTCCAACCAGCTGGGGAGCCCTGGAGGTGGGCAGCTTACGCGCCAGAGATTCCGCCGACGCTACGGCTTCGACCTGCAACGGCCGCGCAGAGTATTGCGACCGTTCCTACTCAAATGTCACATTCGTGGGCTCGCACGACTCTGCCTTTGTTGGAGAACTTCCCCAGCAGAACCAGAACATCGATATCAAAGCGCAGCTCGACATGGGCGTGCGGTTCCTGCAGGCACAAACGCACCATTCCATCCTGGATGACAAAGTTCTAGAGTTATGTCATACTTCGTGTTTTCTCGAAGATGCAGGAAGACTAGAGTCATTTCTGAGCACTGTCAAGGACTGGCTCGATTCAAACGCAAACGAAGTCGTCACCCTCCTCCTCACGAACGGGGACTCGGTAGATATCACCGAGTTTGGAGATACGTTTTCCAGCAGTGGAATTACCGACTACGCATTTGTCCCGTCTTCAAATCCAGATACATTGGCTATTGATAAATGGCCTACGATCGGAGAACTGATATTAAGTGGGAAAAGATTGGTCGTTTTTCTAGGTAAGCCGCGAATAGACCAAGCAATATCTCCACTCATTTAGTTGAATATATTCTGACGACACACTCCCATAGACTACGGTGCCGATGTGAAGAAGGTGGATTACATCCTTGACGAGTTCGCCTATTACTTCGAAACAGCCTACGACGTGACCGACTCGTCCTTCTCGAGCTGTGCCATCGACCGACCCTCCGGCGCTTCCGCATCAGGCCGCATGTACATCGTGAATCACTTTTTAGACGTGGACATCTTCGGTGTGAAGATTCCGGATCGCAAGCACGCAGGAGAAACCAACGCAGCCACGGGCGATGGTAGTATCGGAGCGCAGGCTAGTTTATGCGAAGGGCTGTATGATCGCGCGCCAAATGCAATCTTGCTGGACTTTGTGGATAAGGGGGATGCGATCAATGCGCAGAATGATTTGAATGGCTTTTGAGTATACAGTGATTAGCCTGTCTTAAGCTATGTGTTATTGCAAATTCTATACTAGTATCATCTTTTATCAACCTCCAAGGCTGATTAACTTGAATTCAATCATTTGTATGTGATGACATTTCTGAGGACGATCGAGAAATAAAGTCTATGAAGGTATCAAAAACGCCTTATGCATATGCAAACATTGATGAAATCCTATCATGCACCCAGCCAACTACCAAGACCTCCAGGGCTCCTTAGTTTATGACTCATTCCTCTAACTCAACTTGCATTTCCCGGTCTAGAGAGAGAGTAAAATTAGCAAGCCATTATCTCCACGACGATGATTTGACATACCCGAAAGTTTATTCGCAGAAGCAACAATAGTCTCTGCCTTGGTCAGCAATTTCGCAGCATACCGCTCTGCTTCAGTTGGATAGAGCTGGTTTTTCTGCGTCTTCCGCGGATTGACCTAGTCGCAAAAGTATCAACATCTCCCTTCACTGGTCGCTAGGAGGGGCAACACACCATCATGAGGATTGGGACGAGATCTTTAGGATTCGCCTCGGCCAAAGACCGCAGGCCTTTGAACCCATTCTCCCGAAGCAGTCTCGCAGTCCAACTCTTGACAAATGTGACCTGTGCCATCTCGAGTAGATCGGCACGCGCGCCAGCTTCGAGGCGATCTCGCATGTGGTCCAATACAGCAGCCAACATGCCCCAATTCATGCGCTGGCAGAATTTGACAATCCCGGCGGCAAATCCGTGACATTGTTGTGCGAGAATTTGAATAGATCCACGGGGGGTTTTGTAACGTTGAGAAATTGTTGCCAGAGGGACCTCGTTGCTCAGGTCGCGAAGTTGGAATGCAGTATAAGCGCGACGGTATACACGGGCTTGTTTGAGCTGGTCTGGGGTTGTTTCCTTCAATGATGCCCCAGATTGCACCCTACCGAATACAAAAGCCATGTGAGCTGAGAGAAATCTTCTGTGCGACTGGGGCGTGTGGTCACTCACATTGTGTTTACAAAGCCCGGTTGGACGCCGACATATTGAAGGGCACGGAGGCCACTCTCATCCAAGCGATCCAGCTGGTCTCGAAAAATCTGCCAGTCGATTGGATTACTCATAGCCACTTGAAGAGGAGTGAACATGTAGAATACATGCATATCACCATCCATAACAAATGCTTCGAGTGCCCGCTTGAGTTCCTCGTGCACGTAAAGTCCATCTTCAGGAGAAAAGGCCGAGGCCACAACTGCCTGGCCTAGCAGGGTCGCACCATATGACTCGTCGTCTTTCAAAAGTACAAGGCCTTCATTAATGAGTTCTTGCAGGGCAGAATCCATGATACTGTACACCAACTTCTTGTCGAGTGAGAGGTAGAGTAGAGTACAGCGCACGTACTCTTTGATTGCTTCGAATCCCGAGACCAATCCTGTTGCTACAGCCTCGAGCAGCGCCCTAAAAATGTCAGCCTTCCGGATCCAATGAGATCACAAATAAAGGAGTGTACCTTTTCAGGCCTCTTTTTTCAGGGGCCAAGCAACTTGAGATGGCTGGCATATCAGCATCCAGAAGATCGCATACCGCCTCAAGGTCGGCCTTGACACAGATCAAATATGTTTCACCCGAGCTGTCCTTGCCTTTGCGCCCAGCTCGCCCACACATTTGACGTCTGCCATCGTCAGCATAAATTCATCACGAATATAACATAGATATGGTCGCACAGCATTGCGGGGCCCACCAATTCACGCCCCATTCGAGCGCCGTTGATGATGACTCGTCGCGCAGGAAGATTCACGCCAGCGGCAAGACTGCAAGTCGCAACAAGCACTCTTAGTACGCCTTGGTCGTAGGCCTGGGCAATTAGCTCCCGTTCCTCCGTTGTCATGCCGGCATCTTTACTGGTGTCAGTCTTGCAAGATCACGAGATTTTTCGGGTATTTACTGACGATGGAATCCAGCTCCTTTGATGATTGCTTTTTGGAGAATCGGGTCCAAGCCACAGGAGAGACTTCTTAACTCAGCCAAGAGGTCTAGTCGCTTGTTCATTTCATCAGTGCCCTCAGTCAGTGCAGGCATCGCCTCACTTATGGTGGCAGAGTGAACTTGACATGCCCCCCGACTCCCACAGAAGACCAATGCACCAAACCCTGCAATAGCGGTCTCAACTGCCAATGCCACCATTGAATTTGTTGCAGAATTGGAGAGCTCCTTGTAAGTAGACGCTTCAATGGTCCGGTGCGGGGGAATTGAGTCTTGCAATGTATTCGATGCTGATGCTGATGCTGATGCTGTCAACTTGGAAGCTGTTTGGAAAAGCTGTCTTGATGTCGCGGCCGGGTAGATGACATTCTCGTAAACCAGGTACTCATCAATAGGAACCGGTTTATAGGTGGAAATGTAGAACTTGGCATTCATCCACTGCGCCAACATCTCGGTATTCTGTTCCTGTATTAGAAATCTCCAATGCGAAGAGAAAAGCCTCGCCAACGTACCGAAAGAGTAGCACTCATTCCCACAATTTGAATATCTTGCTGGAGCAACAACAACTTCGTCACCATCAGCTCTAACAAATATCCACGATGTTCATCGTCAAGCATGTGCAGCTCATCGAGCACCACAACACCCAAGTCACCAATGCTACAGTCCTCAATTGCTGAGTTTATCAACGAATTTGCCTAGAGGTCTCATGTCAATAAAGGGAAGTTGTATACAATGACACTCTTGAGGCAACGCACCTTCTCTATGGTACAAACGGCGATATCGGTATCCGCCCATGTTGTAGTTGTCCGGTTTCCGCCGAAGAACCCAGTCACTCGGACGGACTTTTGTAATCGCTTCCATCGTTTGCGGGCGAAATGCAAGTTGTCACCATCGTCCTCATTCTCGTCATCTGGGATGATTTTCTCCACGCCCTGAACAATTTGACGCAACCATTTAAGCTTCTCTTGAACCAATGCGACGTAGGGCAAAACCAAGATGGCCTTCCGGGTAGGATTCTCGATGATCCGTTTCAGCAGCAACACATCCGCCACTAGGGACTTGCCTCCACCAGTGGGGGCTGTGTAGACCAAATGTCGCTCGCCAGATAATAAACCCCGCGCCAAGAGACAGGACGCTTGCCAAGCGTAAATAGAGGTGACCCCCAATGCAGCGAAGTTGGCCTTGAGAGCCGAAGGAAGTCCGTATTTGGGATGGGAAAGAGACAATAGGGGATTCTGACTGGATCCCGGTGCGGGTTCTCCGAATTTATGCTCCTCCTCCAAGCCGCTGGCGCCCGGGCCTTGATGGATAGCGCTGGCGGTAAATCGGTTCACAGGAGGGGCCAACGAGGCTCGAGCAAAGTCCAATGGGGCCGACTCCAGAATCGGCGGGTTGGATATTTCACTTGGACCACGCAGGGCGATGCGATGTACGCCTGCATCCGGTTTGGGGGCCTCCTGGGGCGAAGAATCTGTCAAAGGCCTCTTTTGGCCAGCCACCGAGGCTACATGATAGCCATTTGACGCCTGGTGACGGGCGATATCCATTGAGGTGGTAACCCCATGGGATTGGGCCGATTGTCCCGTCGACATGGTTGGAACACCATTCATCGATGCATGGGAAGAGATGGAGAAAGCTTCTCAGGAGATGGCATATGATAAAAGGTTCATTGGGACCTCTTTTTTCCCCTCGCCTTTCCAATGTTATGCTTCTTAATGTCGACGCGCCAGGTATGGACAACCGTTGAGGCCTCAGGCAATATTTATGTCATAGTCATTAGTAATCGAATCGGTTCCTGGTCGCGCCTTCCCTTTCAGTACGGCGTTGGAGCCGCAGAGGAAGGCACGAATTGAATATCACTCATCACTCATCACTCATCACTCATCACTCTAGTGGGACGCCTACACACCATGGCAATGGCCCCCTTGCACAAGACCGGCATTGATTCCACGCCCTCATGCATCTTACGCATGCGGATCAAGAGATTTCAAACGATCTGGGGTCAGCTGACGAATAACCTACTCTGCCAGTGGTAGTTTAGTTCTGTACTTATAAAATCAACCGAAAGTTCTGAAATAGAGCCTCTCTTCTATCCCATTTTGTTTTCAATGATAACCCTCGTCATGATTGGGATGAATTGCTGCCTACGAGTACGGAGTACATACAATTCCCCTCGAACTCCTTTTTCCCCTTTCCCAAGGCTTACCCAAATTTAGAGCTGGCGCATCCCACTGCCCTCTCCGGTCGTGTTGGTGGATCGTAGGCGACCAGCCGACCCAATGGTGTTGTAGCAAGTCATCCACTCAGGTCACAATTGTAACGGATTGTTCGACAGTTGAAACCGACTACGAGTATCGCCCCGGTGTCGAAATTCGAGACAAATTATAATGATCGACGGGGAAGAATTCGATTAAAATCGCCATGCATCGGAGGAATGTGATGCACCTCTGCAGCTCCATGGTTTATCTGGGGCGATCGGCTTGCATACCTACTAGTATTTAGTACTACACTACGGAGTAGATACTGTACTACTACTACTAGTATATTACAGGTAATTATTTCCAAGGTTGCTGCCAGTCGCCCGGCTAGCACTGGCATCATCCATAGTACCTACTTCCTAGGTACCTAGGTAGGTACGAGTAGGTCTCCCCTGTTCACTTTGCCGCCTCCCTATACTAGTATATGTCATACAGTAGTTCCAGTACTGCTACTATATTGTATAAATCTACCGATCTGGTGCTTATGTAGGCATTTCTCAGCGAAACGTGGGCCAACCGGATGATACCCGCGTGTGTGCGCAGTCTGAAAGGAGAAGCGAGATGCCGGGGAAGTGGTGAATGCAAAGAGTCCCTGAGGGGCCCGATCGCACCATCACAGGATGGCTCGATCGTAACGGGATACTCCATATATGGTGGATAGGGGCCCATCTTCTTCCGTCCCTTTCCCTCTCTACGAGTACTACCTCCAGGGTTGACTCGACTACAAGCCACTTACAGAGGTAGTGTACAAATAATACAAGACCTCCCATGGAGCATATTGCCCATTCCGGTAACTCCATTGACCGGCACGTTTGAATGCAAGGTGGCGACACGCAACAGCCGCCGGGAGCAAATCATTCTCGGCCAACAGCGGATTCTTCTCGGCAGCTTGGATCGTCATTGGACCGAATGGGCGGTAGAAGTTTAAATTACCCAGGAGATGCCCCCGCCGTATAGACTGTACCGTGTATACGGAGCACATGAGTCCATTTTTCCGAGTCGATGATACTCACCATCGTATGTATATGGTAAAGTATCGGATCGAACCATCTGCTTTGCTGGCCGCCTCTGTGTTTCCTGTTGCCTCTGGTGGTTCAGGCGCATGGTTTCGATGGTGACCGGCACGGTCCATGCCCTTGCTTCGCCTTGTCTTTTCTTTTTCCCTTTTAATTTTTGCCTTTCTTGTTTCGGGTTCGTCCTGTTTCGATGGCCGTTCACTAGTCTTCCGTGCCTGCGATCGGGCAATAGCATCGACTAGTGCCCACACTTTAAGAGTCTTAACCCCAAATTGGACTTCCACCTACCAACCACCCCTGGAGGCTAAGGTGGCCACTTTGATCTGTGTAATACATAGATATTGATCCGACTAGGATCGACCTTAGATGAAGAGCCATATCACCCTTGTACCTAGAGGTAGAGCCCGATGATACTTCGTCGTCATCACATGGGCAATTCATTTACCTTGGATGTCAAGCTCGCTTGTAGTGAAGTGGTACAGGGCCAAGATCAAGAGGGTAATGTACATACATGGATACACACCCAAGGTACCGGACCGTACGTATTTTTTTAAACCCAAGCAGGGATCGTGTGGATGGAGGGTGTGGAGTCTCTCAGTGCTAGTGCCCTTGCCATACCTTTACCACAACCTGCGATATCAGTCGTCATGAACGGTTCTCGGGTGTGAGGGAAAATACTAGCAGCCACCGGAGGGCCCCATTCCTGCGGCTGGGCCGTTCTCGAATTACCTTTCTCTTTGTAGTCTCGCGAGCAGAGGCTTGATTCTATATCAATATTTCCTGTCCCCTTCACTGTGAAGGAGGGAGGTCAAACCAAACCTCACACAACAGCCAAACTTTAGCCAGATCGGAGGGGAGTGAAGAACCGTGCATTATTTGAACTGAATCCCTCATCTCTTTCCCGGGGCCAACGCGTATCCCTCCTAGTGGCTCTTACGTGACAACATTCTTCATCGTCATTACGGGAGGAAGCCCATTGCTTGGCGAGAGAACCGTTCAAATTAATTATGCTATGGATGCACTGTACACTCTCAGCCCATATTTTTGAAACTCTTTTTTCGTCAAGCAGCCCGTAGTGCTCTATTCCGTAAACTGTTTCCTACTCCAATCGAGAGATCTCTTACTAGGCTCCCCTCGTTGACTCGTGCGATCAGAGAATCCCCCCGTAGATCGAGCAAGGGGAGGAAGTTTGAGAGTGGTCAGTGGTCAGTCAGTGTCAGTGGTCACGGCCCAATACTTGGGGCAATCCGATCCAGACGAGTTTTCTGCTTTTTCCCTTGGTTCGACAACGAGGATCCGTCATATTAACATATCGGGACTAGGGGCAGGCTCGGGATCCTCGACGCTTTTTTCCTTTCCTTGTCTTCTTCCTCTCCATCTTCCCGGGGTATTCTTTTATACCTGGTGTTCAAGAAGAGAAAAAAAGAGAGCGGGAGAGATAGAGATAGCCCTTCCCCCCCAAAAGAGGTCTTGTCATCGGCATCCCCCCTCTAATCCTGAACTATCATCATTTTCATTTTCGGGTGGCTGCGCGCCTGTTGTTGTTCCGCACTCTTCTGTCCTCATCTGCGCGTCTCTTCTCTTCTTGAACTCTTCCTTTCACACTACTCATCTACTCTACTCTACTCTACCCTCCACTCTATTCCATTCCAATCCACTTCCTCTTTTCTTCTTTCCTGTCGCCTTCCCCCACGAATATCTATCAACCACTGGTTAGTTCACCTCCCCCCTCCTTTATGTGCATCCATCTCCATCTCCACCGTCTCCGTATCCCCATGTTCCCATGTTCCTATTCCCATGTTCTTATGATCCCATATCCATGTCCCTGTCCGTGTTCATGCCTATTCCACTTCCATTCCCCGATCTGGAGGTTTCCATGTTTGCCTATCGGTACCATTGATGATCTTCCTCATCATCTCTCCCTCTCTCCCTTCCTTTCACACCTATCCAAACCCGTTGGAACACTCTGGACCACACCTTGATATCGGCCCCGTTCTGCGGCGCCCTTCACCCCTGCAGTCAATAAGATCTGACACGGGAATCTGGTCCACTCTTTTTGGTGTCTTGCCTGTTCCCACTTCTTTTCCTTCTTCCTAATTTTCCTGAAATTCCCATTTTCCACGATTGTCGTGTTTCTTATTCTCCCACACATTTTCCCCTGGGGAGATCCCTCCCTTCTTTACTTTTCCCCCCCCCCCATCCCCCCTCCCCGTCATTTTCTACTCTTCCCATCTACCCGCTTTTTTCAGATTTTCGCCCCCCCTCGGGCCCTTTTTAGTGTTCCCACATACCCGCATCCACACATGCATCGCGCCACGTCCAGGCGTGTTTGTTCTTGACTTCGTGACTGACATCCACCAGCTCTTTTGTTCTTTCTTTCTATTCACTCAGGGATTCTCACGGGGCTTCATCCCCACATCTCTTCAATCATTCTCCTACTTATCTTCTTTTTCCCTTTCTCTGCCCCCCTGCTATATGACCTGCCGTGGATGAAGATCAGTTGCTCTCAATGACCACCATCAGCTCCCCGGAGGCTGTGGCCGATCCGGCCGGCTCGTCCGCCGCGACCCCTTATGGCACGCGATCTAGAGGTCGTAACGCTCCTCGGCCCAATTATGCTGAGGACCGTGATGTGGATGCGGAATTTGAGGCTGCTCCCGCAAAGGGTGCCAAGCGGAATAGCGGCGTGGCCCTCACCAACATCGTTAACGGCTCCAAGTCTGACAGCGAGAAGTCCTCACCCACGCTACCGCGAAAGAGTCTGACCAATGGGACCGTGTCCAATGCACTGCCAAAGGAATCCATTCCTGGCACCTCATCATTTTCGGCTCGCCCAGACGATGCCAATGGGGCAGGCTCCCTACGGAAACGCAAGGCTACAGTCAGCACCCCGGCCAGCACCAACGCTGCAAAGAAGATCTTCACTGCCGCACCGGGAGATTCCGACGGCGGCTATTTCTCCAACATGCTTAGCTTCGAGGCCTCAGAACCAATCCTCAAGGATGGCCATATCACTGCTGATGATGGCACCACATTGGGAATAAATGGTATGTTTCACTTTTTTGATGTTCCATTCCTCCCCATTTCTCCGCCCATTCCAAACGGGACATTTCCCCATCCAAGGGTGAAGCAGGACTGACGAAATGTAGATCATGTTTACTTAATTTGTGAACCTCCAGGCGAGCCATATTACCTGGCTCGAATTATGGAATTCCTGCCGTCAAAAACCAAAGATTCTGGAGTGATTGAGTCATTACGAGTTAATTGGTATTATCGTCCTCGCGATATCCAGCGCCATAGTACCGACTCCCGACTTGTTTTTGCATCTATGCACTCGGATACGTGTCCGCTCTCTTCACTACGGGGAAAATGTTCTATTCGCCATGTTTCTGAAATTCAGAACATCAACGACTACAAAAAGGATCGGAATAATTTCTGGTACGATAAAATGTTTGATCGATACATCCATCGTCTGTATGATGTCATTCCGACCAAAGATGTGATTAATGTTCCTGGAAACGTGAAAAGAGTCCTCCACGATCGTTGGAGGTTTATCCTGGTCGAAGTGGGCAAAGGCAAAGAATTGACCGGTGCTGTCAAGACCTGCAAGCGATGTCACCTATTCGCCTCCGGCTCTGAATCTGTCGATTGTGCCGTTTGCCGTTCAACATATCACATGTCTTGCGTTCGCCCGGCTCTGACAAAGAAACCAGCTCGAGGATTTGCTTGGGCTTGTGCCCCATGCAGTCGGGCCCAGGAGCGCAAGCTGGAAGCGCGCAACACTCCTCACGTGAGCGAGAACCGCGGCGATGGCGAAGATGAAGTCATGGAAGAGGAAGAGGAGGAGCGTCACACGAATGGAGCTGTCAACGGAACCTCTGTCAGCACGCCTGCTGCAGCCGAAGAGGAACCACAACCTGAAACAGCAGAACAAATGGCCCAGGCGAGGATGTGGCCTTATCGCTACCTGGGTATGCATTGTCGCGTGGAGGACGCTCTCGACTACGATGATCGAATCTATCCCCGTGCAAGCTCTCGACTCGGACCCAAGCACCAGGCTATCGTCAATCCCTGGCCCGGTCGCCCGGTGGAATATGTGAAACCATTTGAGTTGAAAAGGAAAAATAAAGCTACAGGTGTAAAGGCCGCAGGCCCTCTTTCCAAGGACGCGAAGGCTGCGCTGGAAGCTGCCAAGCAGGAGAAGGCGAATCGACCAAAATGGATCCAGGATGAGCCATCGGGCTACATTGCTCGCGGAATGGACGAGCCAGTCACCATCAACAATGGAAAGCAAGCGCGCACTGCCGAACTCATGTTCAAGATGCCAACTTCAGACCAGATCCCGGCTCGTGGCGAGGAGGATGCACCAGGATCGCATCTGAGTGATGCCGACCGCGAAGCATTCATCGACGACTACATGCGCCAAGCGAAGGAATTGGCACCGCACATCAAGGTTGAAAAGTACAGCACAAACTTTCTGGACAAGGCTCTGCAAATACTTTACTCCGAAAGCTTTAATGTGCAAGCGGCCCTGGCCAAGCTAAAGAAGGTCAACCAGTACAAGGATCTTAAAGAACCACATTTCCGCCCGGAGGAACTGAAGCTCTTCGAGCAGGGAGTCGCGAAGTACGGTTCAGAATGGCTTAGCATCTACCGACATGTCAAAACAGTTCCCCACTGGGCCATTGTGCGGTTCTATTACATGTGGAAAAAGACACCCCGTGGAAAGCAAATATGGGGCAGCTACGAAGGCAGGCGCGGAAAGAAGGAGGTTCGGCGCCAGAGCGTCGCGGCGTCCAAATTGCTCGATGATGTGGCCGACGATCATGACGATTCTGCCTTCGACAGCGGAAAAGCAAATGTCCTGAAGCGTGGGTTCCAATGCAAATTCTGTTCAACAAATAATTCCCGGCAATGGCGGCGGGCCCCTCTTGTCCCGCCCGGAACTGTCGTCCCTGCCGATCCTTCAGCAAAGAAGGACAAAGGCGCAATGCTTACTGTCGCTTTATGTATTCGCTGTGCTCTACTATGGCGCAAATATGCTCTGCACTACGAAGATGTGGATGAACTTGGCAAGCGCATTGCAGCCAGCGGCAACAAATCCTGGCGCCGCCGTATCGACGAGGAACTGTTTGCGCAATTGCTCATGGGCGCCGAGACCCCAATGGTCGTCAACAGTACTACAGCGACCACTGCTGCCTCTATGGGAATATCACTGGAAAGCAATCCGCAACTACAGCTTGAGAGCAAAATCGACGCATCGAAGAAGAAAGCACGTACCGACAACCCGAGTACTGCAACCTCGACCTCGACGTCTGTCGAGCCGATGCCAAAAAAGAAGATGGGACCTGAGAAGGGCGTTGATGCACCTCCTGTTGTTCCAGACCCACCCAAAGCAAAGACCCTTTCATGTGCCGTTTGCAATTCAGTTGAACCAACCGGTGATGACCATATCTCTTGCCGGGATTGCCGCTTGACGGTCCACCGCAATTGCTATGGAGTACAGAACTCCCGGCCTGGTAACAAATGGCTCTGCGATATGTGCTCGAACGACCGCAGCCCTTCCATTTCAACGACCTATGAGTGTGTTCTCTGCCCTGTGACTTACACCGAGCATGATTTGATGGAGACTACAAAGAACAACAGCCGAAAGAAGTCGGATCGAGACAAGGAGAAGGAGCGCCTAGAGAAGGAAATGGTTAGTGAGGCGATCAAGCTCTACCGCCAGCGACAAGAAGCCGTCGGCAAGCCTGTTGGTCCTCGAGAACCATTAAAGCGTACCGCAGGCAACAATTGGGCTCATGTCATGTGCTCCCTATGGACTCCCGAGGTCAAATACGGCAATGCTAAAGAACTGGAGCCGGCGGAAGGGTTTGGGTCAATTCCCAAGGACCGTTGGCGAGAGGTTTGCAAGATTTGCAAGCAATCAAAGGGTGCCTGTGTTCCTTGCAACTCCACGGGATGCAACGCGCACTTCCACATCGGTTGTGCTTTCCAGGCACAATACCGTTTTGGTATTGATGTTACGCCCGTGAAGAACTCGCGACGCGACAGCGTGCAAACCATCCGTCTGGGTGACGAAGTCGGAGCAGCTACACCCGTAATCTACTGTCCTAACCATGGCGTTCCCTCAGTTGTTCACGACATTGGGGAGCTAACTGGCCAGGATGGTTTGAATGCTTTGCAACTCTTTGCCCAAACATACAAGCAAGCCGATCTCACCTTGACCGGCACTTCTCGAAAGGCAGCCTATGTGCAGCAATCGGTCATTGCACCATCACACCATGCTGCTGGCATGGGACATCGTCGTGTCTCAACAACAGCAAGCAGTGGCCTGGTAGCTCCCAAAGAGCCTCCCAAACCCCAACCAACCCCGAGCGAAGACGCAACAGACGAGATGGACATTGACACGGAGGAGAATCCCGCGCCGCGTCCAATTCCTTTCCATACGACAACTCCGAATCAGAAGTGTGTTCGATGTTCTGCCGATTTCAGCCCCCGATGGTGGCCTTGTGGGCGACGCAAGGATACTCGGGCACCTTTGGCGAATGGAGTCGGTCGAGGCTCCCTGCACCTCTCACAGAGTCTCTTTGCGCAACCCAATGGCGATGCTGGGGAGCAGCTCTACGAATGCCACAAATGCCACCTGAAGAACCCCCATCCCATCGAGGCGCCAGCTCCAGCTCCAGCTGTGGCCCCAGCTCCAGCTCCGACTATGCCTTCCGTCCCAGTATCCGCGTCGGTAACCCCGTCGGCGCCCGATCCACGACCGTCGCCCTATGCAGGCCAACGCCCGATGCTACCAACCATGCGTGGCCCTACATTCGTTCCGCATACTCATCCTGCTCCTGCTCCTGGTCCCCCTCCGGGCGCCGGTATCCTTGGACGCCCCATTCCTCCTCCCCATTCACATAGCTCACCAATGCCATTTGCTGGTAGCTTCGAACAGCGACCCGCGGGCGAAGGTGCTCTGCGTAACGGCATGTCGCCACCTGCCTATCATGCAGGTCCTCCGCCACCTCCCCCGCCCTTTGGGGGCTTATCAACCAGGTCATCCTCCTGTGCCTCCCCCTGCACACTATGGAAACACAGGGCCACCTCCACCGCCGCCTTCCCAGCCATATGGGCCGCACACTAGCCCATATGTTCCCATGTCCGCCCGATCCCCGCATCTTTCGCAGCCTCCTCGCCCCTACACCTCTGCGTCTCCTCCCATCCACTCGGTGACAATGAACCGGTCACCCCAGACTTCTTTGAGCGCATTGAATGGTGGACCACCGCCGCGCATGTTCTCGGTCGATCGAATGGGCGCATCCTCTCACTCCCCGCCCGTTGTCCCAGCACATGTCAATCCTCGTGGGCCTACCCCGCCCACTCGTCCAGAGGACACACCACCTTCTGTCATGGCGAGTGTGAGCCGCCACTCAGGTGCGAATGGCACAAGCGCTGGATCTGGAGCAAGTGCGAGCCCGTCAGTGAAAAACCTTATATCCTAATCTTCCGTCCATTTCTAAGCAGCCCTCGAAATGAGGGTGTCTTCACACACTGTATGATAACTATGTCTTTCTTTCTTCCGTTTGTTCGCATTTTTTCTTTGTTTTTCTTTTCTCTATTTCCCTTTTTGCATATGCGCGGTGTCTTGACAAAAGTATCAGTGAAAAAAGGAGATATTTGAACCGTGGTGATCCCATATCTTTGCGGATGTCCGTTTATCTATCTTCCTTTTCACTTGATCATCTCCTTTGTCCACATCTGCTCGGCGTCTCAATTATGGCTGGAAAAGCAACGGGATATCTGATTATCTGATCTGGGTAGTGAGAAAAACCCATGGGATTGAATTGCATGGAGTAGGGTCGGCGACTTTTGATGATTACCATATCCCCCGGTTAGAAGAATTGATTTTGATTTGCATTTGCTACTACGAGTACTAGTACATATGAGTTATGCCCAGGCGTACTAAGCTCCTTCCATTCCATGGCCCCCACTTACATCCGTAAATCAGAACCCAATTCAAGCATTTGGATTCCATCTAGTTTTCGGCCCGAGGGCCAGGACACACGACCTCTATTTTCTCTTCTCTCACTATTCCGTGCCGATTATCCGATATCTCCTTGTGTGAGCAGTAATTTAGATAATCCACACACAACACCCACTGCAGCGTTGGTGGGATGGAAAGTGCTGACAAATGCCGGTCAGCTATGATGGGTATCCACATCTGCATCATGATTCTGCACGATTCCCCAAGAACCGCCCACGAGCGCAGGACATAAAAGAAACTTCAACTTGAAACTGCACCAGTGACGCAAAGTTACTGAAAGAAACGTATCTCTCCGTCTATTCCGAACAAAGCCAATCTTCCGCAAAATGAGTACCATGCGCGCGATCTGTAAGTTCAAGTTGGATTCCTTTGCTTTCCCGCACGACCCCGCAGACCAGACCAGACCCCTCCATACCTATCTTACATACATCAGCTCCAACTGGAGACAAGATGTGAGATTCGGACGAAGATCCGGTCTATAGTGTTCTGTTCTACATGCCGTAGAAATACACGTTGAAAGAGACATGTCTTCAAAAATGATTTGTTTCCTACTTCTACTCGGACCTCGCTGATATCAAGTACAGCCATCAAGGGCGGCAAAGGCCCCGCCACGTCCTTGTTCATGGACTCAATCGCCAAACCGGTGCCCGTTGACGGCCAGGCCATCGTTAAGATCAAGGCTTTTGGATTGAACCGCATGGATCTGCTGCAGCGTGAGGGACAGTATCCGCTTCCGCCGCAGGCACCCGAGACTATGGGGGTTGAGTTCTCTGGTATTATTGAAGAATTTGGCGGAAAGGCGCATGAGGATTTCAAGGTTGGGGACGAGGTTTTTGGCCTCGCTTATGGTGGTATGTATATGTATCCCGATGATATTTTGAATGGATTTGGACTTGCCGGATTTCGCTGGGGGAGAGGGGCAGTTTACTGGAGCCGGATATGGGCATGATGGGAGTGGAGGCTGATTTCTGATCGAATAGGTGCGTACGCGGAGTACATTGCCGTCTCGACCAAGATGCTGGTTCACAAACCGAAGCAGCTGTCGTGGGAGGAAGCTGCAGGTGTGCCGGAGGTGAGTGACTGGAAATTGGAAATCTACAATTGATCCGATGCATCGGAATATGGCTAATGTCTAGTTTTGATCAGACCTGGATCACCGCGTCGCAAGCGCTTTTCCTCATCGGTGACTTCCAAGAAGGTCAGACGGTGCTGTGGCACGCGGGCGCTTCTTCCGTCTCCATCTCTGGCATCCAGCTCGCCAAAGCGGCCGGTGCCAAGGCCATCTATGCAACAGTCGGCTCGCAGGAGAAGATCGACTTCCTAGAGAAAGAACTTGGCGTCACCAAGGCCTTCAACTATAAGACGCAGGACTGGGCTGCCGAGCTCCAGAAGGAAGCGGGCGCGGCCGGGGTCAACCTCACTGTCGATTTTATCGGCGGGCCGTATTTCCAGGGAGACCTGGATGTGGCGGCCAAGGATGGGCGCGTGGTTTTTCTAGGAATGATGGGTGGAGGGAAATTGCCAGATGGCGTGAATCTTGCGCCGCTTTTGTTCAAGCGGGTCCGGGTCGAGGGCAGTACCCTGCGCAGCCGGGATGAGGACTATCAGGCTCGGTTGCGGGACACGCTGGTTGACCACGCACTGCCCAAATTCTGTGATGGTACATTCCGGGTGTTTGTGGAGAAGGTGTTCCCATTCGATCAGATCATGGCGGCACACCAATTGCTGGAGGCCAACACGACCAAGGGGAAGATCATCTGTGTGATTGAGTAAGCGCTCGTCAGCGTCAGCAAGGGGCCAGAAGTTTAACGAGGGAAGAAGGTTAGGATCCCCTCGGTCTGGCACCGAAATAAGAACTAGCACCGCAAATAAGCCCTTTGCCCTTGTCCTGAAGATCACGTACGAGTAGGGTAGGGTAGGTAGGGTAGGTAGGGTAGTAGTAGCGTCGGGGAAGTAGGTTAAGCTGAAACTCGCACGGTTGTGGGGACGGTGATTGGGCGGTCACCCACCTCCGCAAGGCGAGGGATCGTCAAAATGAACCAAGGGCGTGTGAGGGATGATGATGGCAGCCAGGAACGAGTGGCGATAACTCTAAAGGAGAGATACATACTGTACATATGTACCCTAGGGTAAAGTAGTCGATGAGATCATCAATAGGATGAGAGGCAATGAGGAGACAGTGTAGGGCGGGAATGAATTTCCAACCAGTGTGAAGGGCAGGATTGAACCAAGTTGAAGGGCAGTTGAACCATGTCCAACCACGCCATCCAACCTGCCCACTTTTTTCCTCGATCGGCCCTCGCAAATGCGCCCCGGAGCCTCGACGGGATGCTGCAGCCAATACTTGCACGCTTACCTAAGATGTGGGCCCTTCTAGAAAAAAAATTGTGCGAGAAGGAGGCGTCATGGTGGGGGCCACTGATAGGATCGAGGTTATGAAGGGAGTGTGTAGATGAAGATAGTCGTAGGTAGAGGTAGAGGAAAGAAGAGGGGAGGTCACCTGTTCAATATATGAGGTAGAGGAAGTTTACTTCTTGTAGTATGTACTATGTAGAAAGAGGAGAAGCGGGGGCGAAAGTGTAAGTTAAGTGACAAAGTACCAAGTACTACCTATGGAGGACCTAACTGGCAGGTACTTACTGCCTACCCAGTACCACTGTACTGTACTGCCCACTGCCCAGTGCCAGTGGCCACACTCACTCTAAATTCGTGCAGCGAGGATCATCCCGTCCCGCCCCAAAAAGGCCTTCTGGAAGCATTGGAAGCCCCCTTCCCCGTGTGGCCCCCCTCCACTTTCTCTCTTTCTCCTCCCCTTCCCCTCTCCTCTCTTCTTCTCTTGTCTCATCTATTCCCTTTTTGTCACTTTCTCTTTTCTCTTTCCCTTCTCTCCTCCCACATCATCGGATCCCCCCATCCCCACCCCATCTGATCGGATTTATTTTCCTTTATTTTCCTTTCCTTCTCTTCTAGACACCTCGACCATGTCGCCCTGACCACTTACACCAAAAAGAACCCTGAAACATCGCCGCTTCCTCCATTCAAAAAAGGCCCTTGGCCCTTCCATTTCCGTCCCCTCACGTGCCGTCATCTGTGGCGCTATCTTCCCCAATTTCCTCCTGCACTCGCCTTCTCTCTGCGTTTGTCTCGGATCTCCTCCTCTCCCAGTCTGCAACGCGACACTTCCCGGGATCGACCTGCAGGGGAAAACAACTCCATTGTTTGATTGAACCCGTAGGGGTGGGTGACCGACTTCATTCCTTCACGTCGATTGCCTCCCTTATTTTGGCGCCGATTTCTCGGGCTCGCTCCGGCTCGCTCCAGCATCACACCTTCATCGTCACCTTCCCGGAGTCGCCGCTCGTTTCTTCCCTCCTCTCCTGAACACCTGGACATACCACAACTTCCCTCACAACTCGACTCCCCCCCCCGAACGTACTGACCGATCCTGCCGATTCCGTGACCTCCTCGACCAAAGACACCGACTCCCTGATTCGTCAATCCCTCCCCTCCTCTCTTCCTTTCCGATAAATTCTCAAATTACGACTTAAGTGATCTTGGTGACGCGACCGGAGATCGCTAGATCGCCTACTACATTACATGATGGTGGAGTGCGTGGATTGCTCGGGCGTCTATATAGACGACCGGGTTCAGTCGGAAAGATGGGTACGCAGAACCTCTATAGACGCTGCAACGGTTTCCTCAGTGGGCTCGCTCACGCGACCCGAAGAACCCGAGGCTCTTCAGGCCGACTTGGGCCAGCTCCTCGAAGTCTGTAAAAAGAGTAAGTTATGACCGACCGGTAGAGAATTTTACCTTGGCAACGCTAACTGGGAATCATTTAGTCTATTTATGCAGTAGCCGAGCCTCCTTTGCCAGTAAGCTCTCCGAGCTGAGCGACCGTTCGGGGAGCGAGTGCGCTCCAATATTCGCCTTCTTTGGCATCGATTTTGGCAACGACGAAACGAATCTGGCTCGCCGAAAAGCTAGCCGAGCCTCTTGGGGCGACAGTGTACCGCCATCTCCCGGAGCCATTCAACGCACATTTACCTTTTCCTCACAATCAGACGAAGCACCCGCTCTGTCACTTCTGACAGGTGTATCGTCCGATATCCAAGTTCAGGATGGTCCGAACTTGGTCGTTCCAATCGCCATTCTTCGCGAAACCGGCTCTAGTGCGACCGATTCCACGAACGAACCACCAAATAACCTCACCCTGGAACACAAGCAGATTGCACGGTGCCTCGATGCCGGCGCTTTCGACGTCCTGACAACCCCGCTGGACCGCGGCCGACTACAGGGGCTTTTGGTCCACGCATACCGTGCTCATCGATCTGCGCAGAAAGAAATGTCTCGATTTCTCGCCCGCAAAAAGTTGCGCAAACTTTCGTGGGTGGGCGTGAATGACGAGCAGCCCTATGCATACTTGAGAGAAGCAATGGTGTCGAAACTCATGAAAGGCATCTGCAACCCAGAGGAGGAGATTGTCGACGAATTTCAAGAACACGAATTGAATATCAACCCGGATCGTCATTCTTTTATAAGGGAGCGGGTGGGAAGCTGGAAATTTTCGGCTCATGAGTTTTCTGAAGACGAGCTGGTTTATGCTGCTTGCCAAATGCTCCAGCATGCTTTCACTCTGCCCGGTCTGGAACAATGGCAGCTTACATCGGGTGAACTACAAACCTTCCTACTTGCCTGTCGCGCCGCTTACAATTCCTTCGTCTTGTATCACAACTTTCGTCACGCCATTGATGTGTTGCAATCTGTATTTTGCTTCCTCCTTCATATCGGTGCCCTGCCTCCCTACGAGCCTATTGGTCAAGCTCCGGTCTCCAAATCTCCTATCGCCTCTCTTCTCTCGCCTTTTGATGCGATGACTCTACTGATTTCCGCGATCGGTCACGATGTTGGTCATCCCGGTGTCAACAACTTCTTCCTTGTGAAGCTTAATGCTCCCCTGGCACAATTATACAATGACAACTCTGTCCTGGAGGCTTTTCACTGTGCCGCTTTCTCCCAGATTCTCCGCCGTCACTGGCCTGTTGCATTCAAAGACAAACAGCTGCGAAAATTACTCATCAGTTCCATCCTGGCCACTGACATGGGTGTTCACCAGAAGTTCATGGAGCGGATGGGACAATTGCAAGAAAAATTCCACGAGAATCACAAGTCGGTCGATGGGTGGAAACCGCAGGATGTCGAATTATACAAGACCCTTCTTTGCGGTCTGTTGATCAAATGTGCCGATATCAGCAATGTGGCTAGACCCTGGATGATTGCAGAGAAATGGACTCAGATCTTACAGGAAGAGTTCGCTAACCAAGGCGAGATGGAAAAGGAGGTTGGCATGGAAACCGCGCTCTTTGGTGGTCCTCCAGAGCTTGGAAATATCTATAAATTGGCCACTAGCCAGATTGGGTTTATGTCTATTTTCGCCCTTCCTCTCTTTGAGGGTATCTCCGATCTCTTGCCTCAGCTACAATTTACGACCGAGCACATTCGTCGCAACCAAGCACAGTGGAAGCAGCATGCCAATGATGAACTCCGGAAGCAGGGCCTGCCGATTGAACACCGGTCAGAAATCACAATCTCGCCACGCTCACAGAGTCCTGCTCCGCCGGTTGATTCTGATGATACCGAGAAGGCGCCCGATGGAGATAGGGAGGGCTCCTTGAACGATCCATTGTCGCCCAATTCCAACATCAGTACGGATTCCGAAAGTGGAGCTTACAATGAAAACAACATCGAGCCAGTTGTGTCACCGGATACCCCCGGCCCTCAAATCGAGATTACAGGAACCCCACTGGTGCCCGAAGTGCAGTCATCCCGGAAGTCTTCCAGCGCTGTGCCGGACCTCTCGTATTTCTCCATCCCCGGGGCCCCCGAATCGGCTCGGGGTTCCGTCGCAACTCAATTACAAACTCCACTCGCCGATTCCAACCGACCCCCGGGGGACCCTGCCGTATTGGCCGCCGTGCTTTATGCAAGCTCGGCTACCAACGGGGGTACCTTCCCGGCGACTACTGAAGAGCCCGTTCCAGAATCTGAGGATGCTTCCGAAAGGCCGAGCAGCTCTCGCCATGCACCTTCGCAGGGGTCTCAGCGACACCATGCACACCACAGTTCATCCGTCCGAACTTCGGCTCCATCAACCTCCAACCGCAACAGCTGCACCCGAACGCAAAGTGTCAGTACATACAGCAACAATATGACACCGATTTCACCTGCGACCAACGCTTCCAGCTTCTTAGCCGTTGATAGCGGTGATGAAAAGCGCATTACGGATGACAGCGCGCCGCAAAGCGAGATCGGTGCTCCGGATGACACTAGCACCCGGCCAAGCACATCATATGCCTCAGTTGGTGGTGATCAAGAGAGTAGTTATAGTCGGGGCCGGGCTCTATTATGGACGTCAGCCACTCGAAGTCGGAGGATGGCAATGGCAATGCCAAAGAGTATACACCCGCTGCCAACGGTACTCGAAGCCCGACCCAGTCGACGACTACTGGAGAGAGCGTCAAGAACGAAAGTCTGCAAGGCGATGATTCTCGCAACGGAGGCTTACGACGCATTCCGAAAAAGCGGAGCCGACTGCGCCTTGCATTTTGGAAACGCCGCAACCACCACCAACAGGAGGTTCACGGCGAGAGTTGAATTCCTTCTTTTCCTTCGTTCTAGTCGGTATCATATCGCTTTTTGCGATTTTGCCGGCTGTGTATTATGCGATCATGGCCTCATGAATGGTGCACTTTGTAATGAGCGTTGAAAATTTTTTCGATGGAGTTGCATTGGGTTTTTTGCCGCGGAGTGGATGGATTCTCTGCTTTTTGGCTTTATATTATACCAGCTAGGCTTTCCCCTCCCTTTCTGAATCTCCTTTGACCTGAACGATGTCGATGAATCCGGTTGGAATGACTATCAAATCTGGGTCTTATCCGAACCACGAAGAAAAAACCCCCTGCCCGATGCCTTTTCTGCCGTGACAGATTGGCCAGGTTCAAGGGTTGTTTATATTATACATTCTCTTTCTTCCTCAATGGGGTTTGCTCCGAGTCGTGCTCGTGCTCGTGCTCCTGCGCTCCCTTGGGTATTATTGCATCGGATGCTTTCTGTCCGCTTTTGTGATGATCATGGTCCTGTCCGACGACATTGTTGTTTTCTTTTCCCGTGTTCTTTTTTTTCTCTCATTTTCTACCTCGCCTTGCAGGCTGCATTTGGGTTGGCTATTTTAGATTTTGGATTAGGGTGGCTGGTGGCGTTGATTCTGACTGTTTTCTACCTTTGCCTTCTGGTCTTATCTTCATGGAAGTGAAGTGATTCGGCGATGTCGAGTCGTTTTTCTTCCCAATATACATATTATGTTTCTTCTCATCTTCAGTTACTACTAAGTACTTGCCAATAGTAGTTCCAAGGCTGGGAGACGTACGATATCTCAACATCTAAAGCCCATGGCCGTGTGGTTACTAGTATGTTTTAGCCAGGCCAAGGCATTTGGTACACGTTACTCTAATCAACCAAGAAATCTTTGAACATGGTCTCGAGGAACTTGGAAGAGCTTGGTAGTACTAGATATGATAAAAATCCCGCAAATCTCCAACAAATGCGATCATAGGTGACAACTACGTGTAAAGATTCATTAAGGCGTGGCTGGCTCTATGCTAAACAATCAAACAACGAGATGAGTCTAAAAGACCGTGACGATTTCATAAAAGCGTACTCTAGCAACGCACAATACGTCTCAAGCAGGATAACGAATGCATCTCACCCTGATAGCATTCACCCTTACTTCGCAGACTGCGTAGCATCCATAACCCTTTGAACCATACTTCCAAAGTCCGACAAAGAGATAGCCTCTTGAGCCCTCTCCCAGCCAAGCTCATACGGAAGCCTCTCGTTTTCTGCATGAATTCAAACGTCAGTCTCGCATCAAACAACAAGCGAGAGAGGAGGAAAGGAAACCCCTAACTGGGCATAACACTGCCTCGAACATACCGAAAAGAAACTCAACCCAGGATTTCCTAGCAATGCCAGTTGTCTTATTTCCAAGTACGAGGAGATACGCAGCCGATTCGCCGAAACTGTTGCCTTTGCCCGTATCGTCTAGTTTAAATTCGGGGTTTGTTCGATTCGACGTGTTGACTCGGGCCTGGCGGGCTCTGGCTGCGGATTGCGGGTCGATATTGGCATTTGGCCAGTAGGAGCGTGTTTCGTTGAAGAGGGTTTGGTTGAAGCTGTGATCGTCTCCGAAGTAAAAGTCTCCGCGACTGTGGTAGATGAAAGAGGATTGTGAGCACCAGTTCAATAATGATCAAGGTCCGAATCACCGGTCCATGCCAGTGGGTAATCCATTCCAACTTGTACTACGTTGTATATTTGGGCTCAGCTTACCTCAAGCTACCATCATGTTCGAGGATATTGTGTCGACTGAGATTTGCTAATGAGAAGGTCGTAGCATTCAGGTTCGTAGTCAAGGCGTTTTTAAAAAGAGTCCGAGAAAAGAACTTTTCGAAGTTCAGGGCTGTCCCGAATGCGTGGATAATGGTCTCTTCCCCGATGTCTTTACCGTTGTGTGGGAGGTAGCCATGGTTCGCCAGGGCATTAAGCATAGGGCAGGGAGCTCGGTCTATGTAATTGGAATTAGAAATGATTTGGACAAACATTTCTCAAGCAATACACGTACCGTCATCGGGACCAGCAGGTCTCCAGTCTGTCAGTGGATGGTTGGGAGGACAGGCAATAGAGCCGGCCGCAGCTAGAGTAGCCACGGCGAATGCAAGTAAGACTTGGAGTTTCATGCTGATTGAACTTTATCTCGGAGACATGAAAACTGTGAAGAGCCCAGATACGAACAAGCTCAGACCGATATGTAGTAGGTAGTTGTATTCGACGATAATACTAAGTATGAGGAGGAAGGTGACTACATTCAATTCGTTACAAACCAAGCAAACTGTCTATGTAGGTGCATACTACTATATCCGGGTAGTTACGCGGGCACGAGGAACCACTGGGAACCAGGCAAATTGTCATCAAAGAAAAGAAGCTTCAAAGAAAATTGGGTTCTCAAGCCACCTCAACTGCAGCTTGGGGTGCAGCGCGCAGGCAAAATAAGCTTGGGCCAAGAACGTGGCTTCAATGGTTCAAATTTTAGAAAAGCATAATGTTCATCGATTTCTCAAGTTTGCGTCTATAGAAAAGGCGGGCGTGAGGATAACCTGCTACTATGTACAGTGTGAAGCGCAAAAGGGTCGATGGATGGACTTCAAGTTGGGTAAATCAAATGCAGTCCTCGCATTCCTTCTTTTCCGTTAGGCGTTCGTCGTCCTGATTGGTTTCTTGCTGTCCAGCTTTCTTCTCTTCTGCTTGCTTCTTCAGGGCTCTGTCTGTGTGTCCTAGATCACGGTTTGGGGCGATGACATTGCGAACGAGAGATTTGAGAGCTTTCACCTCTGAGATATTTGTCAGCTTCTTTTCAAATGCACAAACTGATATATATTCAAGTTGCAAAGTTCCGTAGAAAAGAAAAGAAAAAGCAATTAGGTGGGTTAGATCAGACATACCAGGGAAGCCTCCATCTCGCTTGCGATCCCAGAGAATGCTCTCTTCGGTTGACGCCTCTCCCAAGGCTGTTTGTTGACCGGCACTCCAGATGGTTACTGTGAAGACTCCTCCTGTCATAGGAACGAGAGCGACTTCACCGAGGTCTGTGCCGAAAGTTGAGAGGAGTTCTTGCGCGAACTATAAATGTTCAAGAAGTTGAGATTAGTGATTTGTGAATGTCAGGAAATATATTTTCAAGGTAGGTAGGTATATAGTATGGTGAGTACTACAAGTAGTAACTAGTAGTAAACACACATATATATCGATAGATTTTTTCGATCCCAAGATTCGAGATGATTTCACAAAAAACCGACTTCCAAAGGAAATGAGTAGATGACAAAATACGGAATGGACCTACATATGCAGCCCGTAACATCCACTTGCACTGCGTGCAGAACTTGATTGAAATGCGTGGCAGCTGCACCCGCTCCAGAGCCGTCGTGTTGGCCTCAGAACCAGGACCCGGTGTTTCGGATTGTGGCGCCGAGCCGGGAGTAAGCCTGGCTTCAATTGGTGGAGTTGATTCGGTCATGACGACTCAATGTCGAGACGGGGAGAGGGGGGGGGGGGGAGGTATACTGCGATTCCGATGTCAGCGACTCGTGGTGCCCGGGGAGTCTTCTTTTTGCAGGGACCCGAGAATGCGCTGTTCGAAAGGGTAGGACGGCACCTCGTGGCTGCAGAGTGATTTGGAATTATGGGACACGGTCAGGTTGGATAGGGGAGTTGGGAGGGAAATTTGATGTCGGTGGTGGGATGAGATGATGTGATGTCAGCGGTCTGATTCGGCCGGTTCGTCCAACTCGCTGCAGGTTCCCGAGAGTGGGACTGAACGCAAGTTCCGCAAGGGAGAACCGGAGGCTGCGAGTTGTTTACGAGGCTTACATGGGAGAATACTGTACATCAAAATGGGCAAATGGAGGAGGTTATTAGAATCGATAATTCTTATTTGGTCATGGATGCAAATCGAATCTATGATACACGAATGGCAACCCGATCTCCCTAGCAGTGTGCATGGGAGGCTTTTGGAGAACCCTGGAGAACAAAGGAAATGGCTTCAAAACACAGTGACGACAAAAGGGGGAATGGTGCTTAGAGAAGTGGAATAAGAGAAGAAGTGGAAGAAGGGTGAGAAAGAGAAGAGTGAAAAAAAACTGTTGTAAAAGAGACAGGGCCACGGGGGACAGGCGCATCGTCAAGTGCTTTAAAAAAGCCTGGCGCCCCCGAGCCATCCGAGACCAAGGGGATATTAGAAACCCGCATGATTCTGAGGCATTGAAGAAGTTCGTGCGGTTCCACGTCTCGCTGTCCGCGCCCGGCAGGTTGAGCGATCGTGGTTCTTGTTCGGGTCGATTGGGGGACGGAGAAAGACGATCAATCAGGATCCGGAATTAAGGTTGAAAGAGAACGAGGCGGAAAGATAAATGAAGAAGGAAATGTCGTGTCGTGGCGATCGAGCTTCTCCCGTCATAGGGCCATTACATGACGGTGCAGCAACCTCCCTGTTGCTGGGGAGCGTAGGGGTCCTCTCGCTTGTCGACCTGAATATCTCAAGTTAGCTCAGTGCGATTGCGCGCGTGCGCCTCATTTTCGAACGGTCGCATACCTGTCCCCATACGGATGGAACCATGAAGTCGCGAGTGTTATTGCAATAGTTGATGAGCCTAGATCAGGAAAGGTCAGTTACGTACATATTTGGGTTGGGGGCGGTGGGAGTCATCGTCATGATCATCAAAGGGGATGTTGATGTGGTGACGACGGGGGTAGGGGAAGATGCGGATAGACGCACGAGAGAGCCGCTTCGGAAACCTTGACACGCGGACGGTCGAGATCCTCCTTCAGACGGGCATTGAGCTCAGTCAAGCGACGGTATTTGAGGTCAGCCACACTCTGCTTCTTGTTCTTGACATCACCACCCGATCGGAGTTCGTAAGCAGGCATCGTGACGGAGAGGGGGTCGTTGGGTCGGGGGGTTGTAGGTCGCGCGGTCGAGAAAGGGGGTCGTGGTCAAGAGGGGAAATATTGTTATTAGATTGGAGGGGGGATAGGGCCAGGTCGTCAATCGAGCCAACAATCGACGCGCAGTTGGATGGGACCGAACAAAGAAAAGGAGAGAATGAGGGTCAAAGGAATGAGGAGGGAGGACGCAGACGTTGGAGGGATTTTCCGAGAGGATGGTGGTTGGTGGTACGGGGGGTCCGTGGGTGCGGTGGATTACATACGCATACGGGGGAACGGAGGGAACTCAGGAGGGGGGTGAGAGTGGGAGTAGCCTCAATAGTGCGACAATAGTGGCTCCTCTGTACCATATACTAGGGCTGACGAGTTTCACGTGTGAAATTGACTATAGATCAGTAGAGGAGTATTTGTTGTTTAGATATTCGCAGTGGAATGAATTGAAAAGAATACAGTCCATCAGAGTACAGAGTACACACATTACTCCTATAGGTACTGTTAGGTACAGGCACTATTTACTGATGTATCAACTTAGAACTGTAGACTGTAGACTGTAGATGCAATGACCAGTCCACTGCAACTTACCGTAATCTATGTAATCCCAATACACCACCTGTATCACCCCGTGTTGATCATCCGCCTGAATAACCTGGCAGAAAACACACGTGACTGCCCCATCGCTTAGCCCGAAGTGGGAACTCGGGCAATTTTCGCTGGCTCACGCACAACAGGCTCATCTTCCCCTCCAGGCCTAGGGACTTCGCGTGGCAGCCATATCAACTTCGGTCTACGACCACTGCCAGTGCACGAAACGCCTGCACTTTCTCCTTGCGATTTCGCCTTTTTACCCCCGAAAAAAAATTCATCCATCTCCCGAAGGAGTGGATTATCCATCATGCCGCCTCCACCGCATATCAAGCCTGAGAATGTCCTCAAGGTTCGTCCCGACTGTCTCCATCGCATCTCGACTCGCCTGTTCGATCCTCGATCCTCAATACTAACCTCATGTCTTATATAACAGAGGGCCCAGGAACTCATCGCCGTCGGTCAGGCCCCCGCCGCCCTGACCGTCCTCCACGAACATGTCACCTCAAAGCGGACCCGCAGCAGCCCGATTGCTTCCCTCGAGCCGGTTATGCTCCTCTTCGTTGAGCTGTGTGTCGACCTGCGCAAGGGCAAGGCTGCTAAGGATGGCCTGTATCAATACAAGAACATCGCCCAGAACACCAACGTCGGCACCATCGAGGTCGTCCTGAAGAAGTTTATCGAACTCGCCGAGCAGAAGGTCACCGAGGCCCAGACCAAGGCCGATGAGATTCAGTCTTCCCTCGAATCCGCCGCCCCTTCCTCCAACGTCGATGATCTGGAGGCTATCGAGACCCCCGAGACTATCCTCCTCGCTACCGTCTCAGGCGAGCAGTCTCGTGACCGTACCGACCGCGCCGTCGTCACCCCTTGGCTCAAGTTCCTGTGGGAGACCTACCGTACCGTCCTCGAGATCCTGAAGAACAATGCCCGTCTCGAGATTATGTACCAGTCGACCGCTCTGCAGGCCTTCCAGTTCTGCCTCAAGTACACCCGCAAGACCGAGTTCCGCCGTCTCTGCGAGCTGCTCCGTAACCACGTCCAAAATGCCGCCAAGTACTCCGCCCAGATGCACGCCATCAACCTCAGCGATGCCGATACCCTGCAACGCCACTTGGATACCCGTTTCCAGCAGTTGAATGTCGCCGTCGAGCTGGAGCTGTGGCAGGAGGCCTTCCGCAGCATTGAGGACATCCACACCCTGCTGAACCTGAGCAAGCGCCCTGCCAAGAACGTCATGATGGCCAACTACTACGAGAAGCTCGCCCGTATCTTCCTCGTCAGCGAGAACTACCTTTTCCACGCTGCGGCCTGGAACCGCTACTACAACCTCCTCCGTCTCTCCACTGTGGCCTTGGCTACTGGCCAGAGCACCAAGAAGGAGAACCCCTCCGTCAACGAGGCCGATATGACCAAGGCCGCTTCCTTCGTCCTTCTCTCCGCTCTTTCCATCCCCGTCATCAGCACCACTCGCTCGCGTGGCGCTCTTGTTGACGTTGATGAGGCCCGCAAGAACAAGAACACCCGCCTCACCAACCTGCTGGGTATGGCTCAGCCCCCCTCCCGCTCCGTGCTCTTCCGTGATGCTCTGAACAAGGGTCTCCTGAAGCGTGTCCGCCCCGAGATCCGGGATCTGTACAACATCCTTGAGGTCGAC